AGAAAACTGACCCCTGCAAGATGTCCTCTGACCTCCACAGGCACATAAGCCTGCATACAGTCTTGCACACACACAAATAAATATTAACATTCTTAAAAAGAAAAAAGAAAGGAGGAACAGAGGGTGGAAAACCGGGCTTAAACTCACCTTTGCATATTGAGAAGACACCTAAGAGCAGCTTATGGCAAATTTTAGACCTTTGGGTATGCTCCTAAAGTTCCAGTCTTGTCTCGAACTCAAAATCTTCCTGCTTCTGCCTGGAGAGATGGCTCAGAGGTTAAGAGCACTGGCTCCTTTTCCGAAGGTCCTGAGTTCAATTCCCAGCAAACACATGGTGGCTCACAACCATCTAGGATGAGATCTTGTGCTCTCTTCTGGCCTGCAGGTGTACATGCAGACAGAGCATTATATGTAATAAATAAATACATTTTTAAAAACAAAATCAGGCTGGTAATCAGGCTGGTAAGGTTGCACATGTAACCCCAGCACTCAGAGAGGCACAGGCAGGAGGATCTCTATGAGTCTGAAGCCAGCCTGCTCCACAGAGTGAGTCCAGGACATCCAAGGTTGCACAGAGAAACCCTGTCTCAAAAAACAAGCAAACAAAAATCTTCATGCTTCATCCTCCCAAATGTTGGGGTCACAGGCACACACCAGTGACTGGCTTCCTGGACTTCTGTTATAGAAATATCTCTCTCTCTCTCTCTCTCAGCTTTGTAGCTGAGGGAGACCCCGGACTTCCCATCCTCCTGCTTCAATCTCCAGAGAGCTAGGCTAACAAAAGCCACCACCACACCACCACACACGGCGTCATTTTGGGTTTTGTTTTGTTTGTTTTTGAAAGACTGTGTCACTACATGGCTCAGGCTGGCCTGGAGCTTGCAATCTTCCTGCCTCAGCTCCCAGCCCCTGGGAACTTGGACATGTACGTGCAGCAAATCCCGTCTCCCTGGTGTGTGTGTGGCATTTGCACACATGTGAGTGTGGATGTGTATATATGGCAAGTGAGTGTGCAGGAGCAGAGGGTGTTGGGGTCTTGCTCTGTGTCTGCCATTTTCAGTTCAAGCACCCTCCATTGCTGAACCTGGAGCTACCCTGGCAGCCAGCAAGCCTCAACCGGGTCACAGGTACCCACAGGCCATGCTGCCCTTTCACATGAGTGCTGGGGGTTTGAATTCAGGTCCGAATGCTTCGCCAGATGAACCATTTCTCCAGCTCCCTCCCTCTTCCTTTCCTCTGTGCTCCTGGGTCTTGAACCCTGGACCACACAAGAGTCAGGCAAGTGCTGTGTGCTTGGCCCTGGCATCCTGGTCTCTAAATCTGGCCTGTCCAAGCAGCCCTGGGTGTGTTCTCTCGCCTTCTGGCCTGTCTCTGACCTTGTGAGCTTTCATGGATCTGCTGCTTTCCTGGCTTTTGTAAAGGCCATGCAAGGTGACTCGGGTCTTTCTGTTGTCACTTAAAACAGGTGGCAGACACACAACTTCATCTCAGCACCCAGGAGGCAGAGGCAGTGGGTTTGTGTAAGATCTGAGTCCAACCTGGTCTACATAAGACCCTGTTTCAAACAAAAAAATAAAATGAATAAAATAAGCCTCTAAGCCAGCAAACCTTCCTAATGCTGCGACCCTTAACACGGTTCCTCATGTTGCGGTGACCCCCCAGCCATAAAAATTCTTCTTATTGCTACTTCCTAGCTGTGATTGTGCTACTGTTATGACTCATAACATAAATATCTGATATGCAGGGTGTCTGACGCGATCCCCAAAAGGGTCACAACCCATAGCTTGAGAACCATGCCCCAAACCATAACAGGAAGATCTTCGTGAAACACTGGCTGCCCTTGCAGAGGACCTGAGTCGTATCCCAGTGCCCACCTCAGGCAGCTCACAGCACCTGTATCTCCAGCTCCCAGGGCTGGGACTCCCCCATGCGGCCTCCATGAGAGCTGCGGTTCTGTGCACAACCCCAGGTACAGATAACACATGCTTCCATATGAAATAAAATGAATAGAGGGAGTTGGACGGTGGTGGCGCACACCTTTAATGCCAGCACAGCATTTGGGAAGCAGAGGAAGGAGGATCTCTGTAAGTTCGAGGCCAGCCTGGTCTACAGACAGAGTCCAGGACAGCCAAGGCCATAGAGAGAAACCCTGTCTCGAAAAATCAATCAATAAGCAAGTAAATAAATATAGATCTTTAAATACTCCTAGCTTGCTACTCCGGTCTACAAAGACACAGGTGGACAGGCATGGCTGGTGTATGAGGGCACCTTCTTTCTCAAGGAAGAAATTCCAAGGGGTAAACGAGAATGGAAAATTAACAACCTTCCTGTCATCCCTGTGGTTCCAGGCAGTCAGAAGCCGTGTCATAGGCCATGTTCTGCAGCACCTTGCGACCTACTGCTTAGAACCCAGCATTAGCTTTCCGATGGACAGTGGGACTCAGGAGTTATGGCTCCAGAAAGCTGGGTGGACGCTGTGAGCTGAGTCTGCTGAGGGCGGCCGGTGGCCTCCTGCCCCTCCTGCCTCCGTTCAACTCAGCCAGTGTTCCAGAAGAAAATTCTTGGTGAACAACAATTGGGTGGGGGGGGGGTGAAATCTGGACTGTGGCTGAGAGGGCACAGCCCTCACATTGTGTGAACAAGGCCTGGCTTCCACCCCAAGCGCCTCACAAACCAGGCATGCTGGTACATGCCTGTCATCCTAGCACTAGGGATGTGGAGGCAGGAGGATCAGGAATTCAAAGCCATCCTCGGGTACACCGTGAGTTTGAGGCCAGGCTGGCCTACTTAAGGCCAGATCTAAAAGAGAGGAGGAGGAGGAGGAAAGGAAATGGTCCAAGTTCTTTAGTCCTGTTCTCATCCAGAAATAAGGGTCCATTTATCCCGAGTATAATACATGTCCGTCAACACAGCTCATCTTCAGGGGCAGTGTGCAGGGTGTGAGGCTGGTTCCCACTGAAGACAGGGAGAAAGCTTTTCTTCCTTCGAGGGGAAAGTTGTTAATATTGCTACTACTACTGTTCATTTGAGCCAGCGATGCATGTAGCTGCGCTGGCCTTGTACTCCCCTACCACCCCATCTCCTGAGCACCGCGGTTTGGGCTGCACGCCTGGCTATCGATGCCATGCACTAGCTGTTTGGGGTTTTGACCCAGGATTTCACTTTTTAGCCCAGGCTGGCACAAACTTGTGGGAGGTACCCCTGCCTCACCTTCTCCTGTACTGGGGATGCAGGGTCCACCCCAGCTCCAAGCTGGCACAAGTCAGGGGAAGAAGAGGTTTGCACATGGTGACCGCTAGAGGGAAGCAGAGGACTGCGAGAATGGCAGAGCCTGTGCTTGCTCGTGCACGAGTCAATGTTGGGGTCAAAGGTTGGCATCAGGTGTCTCCCAAGTGAACCCGCACTCCCCTCCCCCCAGCGCCCCGTTAAGCTGTTGTGGCGACCCAGCCTCGACTTGGATCACGCGGCCCCTCCCCCACGTCCTCTTAGCAGGGGCTCCCAGTCCTGGAGTCACAGACAGACACGGGGCTACACCAGGCTTCTGGGGGCCTGAACTCTCATCCTTACGCCTGCATGCAGAGGCCCTGCCCAGGACTTGTAGGCCGTCCAGGCGAAGTCTCCTGGCGTAATGATCGCCAGCACCTGAGTTGTTGGGGAACTTCCCGGACCCGAGAATCCCCCGGGACAAGGGTCCTCTGTTCAAGGAAGACAGAGCCCAGGGTCAGTTCGGAGGCTTGGGACTGGAAATCGAAGGAATGAATGGTGCTGAGGGTCTCTCCTTGGGGAGAGATTCATTAAAGTAGACCTCTGTTCCCCCTGACTGGCTACAGGTGCAGGGTAAGGAAACGAAGCCTGGGAGCTGAGATCCGCAAAAAAGGGGGGAAATCCACTGCTGTGGGAAGAATCTATCAGGTGGATGGTTAGCCAGGCGTGGTGGCGCACGACTGTCATCCCAGCGCTCAGGGAGGCAGAGGCAGGTGGATCTCTGTGAGTCCGAGGCCAGCCTGGCCTGTAGAGCGAGTCCAGGACAGCCAAGGCTACGTAGAGAAACCCTGTCTCAAAACCAAAACAAACACAAAACCAAAACAAAACAAAAAAAAAAGGCTGATGGTTAAAAAATCTTTTAGTGGAAAACTGGAAGGTTGCAGGTCCAGAGCTGTATTGTCCAGGAAGTTTGGCCCCAGAACAGCTCTGGCGGTCTAGGAATGGTCCCCTAGACTCATATGTGGGAATGCTTGGTCCCCAGTGAGTGGACAGATGCACGCCTTTGACCCAAGCCCTCAGGAGGCAGAGACAGGAGGGTCTCTGTGAGTTCGAGGCCAGCCTGGTCTACAAAGTGAGTCCAGGACAGCCAAGGCTACACAGAGAAAGCCTGTCTCAAATAAATAAATAAATAAATGATGAATGAATGAATGAATGAATGAATGAATAAATAAATGGCTAATAAAAATAAATAACTAGCAAGATCATGCAGGACACTGCTTCCAAGGACATTCCACCGACCCCTGGCCCTCTTCCTCTTGCCAAACTCAATGTATGTCAAGAGTCTTTCTGCATTTTCAGGGGACTTTAGGAGGCATGCGGAGTGCTGCGGTCTGAGAGAGGGGTGCAGACTGTGGGGACAACCTTGGGGGGTTCCAGTCAGGCTGCGAAGGTCCCCGGCGTGGACGGCAGCACTTCATGCTAGACCTCTTGGTTACCACACCCACCCACCCACCCTGAGCCGAGGGGGCAGTGCCTCAGGCTGCCACTCCAGCGCTCACACCCCTGACCTGTGCGCACAGCGCCGCTGCTGGCTCTGAGGAGCTGGCTTCCTCCACCCTGCCTTCCCATGAGGCGCCTCTCAACAGCCTCACAGCGCAGGGGAACCACGGGGAAGAGAGCAGGGAGGCAGGGCGAGGAGGGCGTGGCTGGGGTGGCTCAGGAAGGAAGCCCTGCTGAATGTCCCAGTGAGGATCGTGGAGGGTGACCCAGACACAGCCTGACCCCTCCTCATTGTTAACCATTTATTGGGACAGGAGCTAAGGTAGACGCACGAGGAGGTTGAAAGCACCTCACTGGGGCTCATTTGTGTCCGTGTCCTTAGCTTTTTCTGACCCTCTTTCTGTCTTGCTCGCGTGTGGATGCAGGGTTTGCTCGGCCTGGTCTCTGACCCTCCTGGAGCGCAGCCACCCTTGCAGCCTGCACTGCACCGACCACTGCACTCTGCGACGCAGCCACTGCTGCATTTTGTGATGCAGCCACCGTTGCAGCCTGAGGTGCACCCAGCCGCAGGTGCACACGCACAGGAAGCGGTTGCACACTTGGGAGCAGACGACCTTAAAGTGCTGGCCCTGCTCGGTCTGCAGCTTTATGGGGACGATGTAGGCCAGCCACACGGTCAGCAGCGTGGTGACGACCAGCAGGAAGATGCTGAGCACGGGTGGGAACATGGCCACAGGCAGGGCCCCGTACACGTACACACTGAACGTGGTGTCCAGGTTGCAGTAGCTGTGGGGGGGCAGCAGGCACAGGCTGTCAGGGTGCGGAGCCGGGGCCTGGGTGGCCGGCCCCACCCTGTCCACACAGCTGACTTCTTGTGTGGGGGTGGTAAGGTGTGCTTTTTGTTTGTTTGTTTGTTTCTTTCTTTCTTTCTTTCTTTCTTTGGTTTGGGGGTCTGGGTGGGGAAACTGAAGACAATTTCATCAGAGCTTGAGGGAAAAACGAGCAGGCCTTCAGCGGCTCCTGAAGAGAATGGCCGAAGAACGGCAAAGCTGCAGTGCTGAAGCCGGTTCGGGCAGTCACCCGGAGGGCAGATGGCCTCAGTGAGGGGAGCCCAGAGTGTCGGGGGGTGGGGGGACACTCCGAAAAGGGACAGGAAGGGAGAGGGGCCAGTGGGCACAATCTCCACTGTCTGGGGCTGCAGCCCACAAGCTGCAGCTGTGTGTGTGAGTTTTGACACAGGTCTCATGTAGTCCAGGCCAGCCTCAAACTAGTTATGTAGCCAAGGATGGCCTTGAACTCTGGTTTTCTGAGACAAGGTTTCTCTGTGTAGCCTTGGCTGTCCTGGACTCGCTTTACAGACCAGGCTGGCCTGGAACTCACAGCCATCCGCCTGCCTCTACCCGCCCAGTGCTAGGATTAAAGGTGTGCCCCACCACTGCCAGGCTGGCCTTGAACTCTTGATCCTACTGTGTCTGCCCAGCTCCCCACTGCTGGGGTGGCAGGCGTGGAGCACCACACCGGGACATCGAGGTCACCAATCTGTGAGTCTCTTCTCAGGATGACACAGTACCCCCTCCACTCACCTGTAGTATGGGTCCACCACAGACAGAAGGAAGGTATAGATTCCATTTCTCTGGCCAAAAATAACCCTGTTGTCTGTGCGGCCACCTAAGATCTGGTACTCGACATTAGGCCATAGCAAGGGGTTGTCCTTATTGTCCTCATGGCAGCTGATATAGTTCTGGGGACAAGGACAGAGGCACGCTGGTCCCGAGAACCCTGGCCCTCCGCCCCTGGCCTCACAGAGCATGCCTTCCCCACCGTTCCACCCCTAAGCAAACCCTTGTGGGCAGGGCCTCCTGCCTCCTCCCTCCCTTTCTGCCCTTCCCGGCAAGAGACTCAATCACTTTAAAGCCAGACGGGTGTGAGCTGCAAGACCCGATTCAGAAACAGTGTTTGGGGGCCAGTTACTGTATCTGACAGAGTCCCAGAGAGCCTAGGCTGGCGTCGAACTTGCTTTTTAGGGAATCCTCCAGCCTCTGGGATGGCAGGCAGACACCAGCGCACGGCTCTGACGGTGCTTGCGTGCAGGGCTGTGTGTGAGCCGCCTGGGCGGGACCCTACCTCTCTGTTCCAGATGGACACGATGGAATCGGCATCCGTGAAGAGGTTAAAGTTGCTCCAGTTCTGAGGCTGTGACCGGCAATTGGCAGTGGCGGCCGTCAGGGAGTATGAATAGGTGACTATCCCGTTGACCTCCGTTAGCACGTACTCGGCGTTCATGATTTCTTCTAGGATCCCATTCTTCCACCTGAGACACAAGTGAGGCAGCGGAGCGTAATGTCAGGACGCCGCCAGGGTCATCCCCACAGGACAGTGCGGGGTCATCCGGACAGGAGGACAGTCATCCTGACAGGAGGACAGTGTGGGGTCATCCAGATAGGAGGACAGCCATTCCGACAGGAGGACAGTCACAGACAGCGCTGGAAGGTGTGGAAGCTCGGGGAGGGGAGGAAGGGGTGAGGAGGGATGGAAGGGAGCCACTATCAAGAGCCCTCCCTGCAAAGGGAGCCAGGGAGCCAGAGTACAGAGAAGCTTGGCATGGTATATATTTATATATTTGGGTTTTATTGTTTTGTGGTTTGTTTGTTTTTTTTGTTTTTTTTGTTTTTTTTTTTTGGATTTTTTGTTTGTGTTCGTATTTTGTTTTGCAGCCCAGGCTGGCCTTGAACCCCCGACCTTCCCGTCTCCATCTCTGCACTGCTGAAATGATGGATGTGAACCGTGGTGCCTGTTCTATGGGCTGCTGACAACAGGATCTGGGGCTTCAGGAAGCTGAGCACTCTGCCACTGCGGCCCAGCAAACAGAACCCCATCATTCTGTCCTGGTAGACGCTGCATGATGCCCGTGGGCACCTCCCCATATCTGTGGGGTCTGCACCCAAGCACTGAACCGACCCTGACCTCCAAGGGCCGAGTCCACCTTGGCATCTGAATACTGAACCCAACTTCCTATTTCAGGATTGAGTTTTCCAAGGTGGCTGAGGATCAGGGCAACCTGGGCGCAGAGACCGCACCAGCCTTGCTGTGGGGAAAGGTTACACAGGCCTCAGAGGCGTGTAGAGGCTGCTGTCCTTGCTCCCTGAGCGATGCAGTGGAAAGAGTGTGTGCACACATTTCCAGCAGCCTGAATGGGACTTTCAGGCTGCGGAGACACAGCAGTCGGGGAGGTATGCGCACAGGCGCTCAGAGTTAACCTTGCCTGTCGGGGGAATCTGTGGCCTGGCTGCAGGAGATGCCGCCCTGAAACCGTCAACTGATGAAGGCAGAACTGTGTTCTGAAGAGAGCCTTAGTGACAGTGATGGCGGGCCCCGAAGCTTCCAGATAGGCTGGAGAGATGGCTGAGCTTAAGAGCTGTTCTTCCAGAGGTCCTGAGTTCAATTCCCAGCACCCACATGGTGGCTCACACCACCTATAATGAGATCTGGCGCCCTCTGCTGGTGTGCAAGCACATATGCAGATAGAGCTTCACCCATGTAATCCCAGCACTCAGGGAGGCAGAGGCAGGAGGATCTCTGTGAGTTCAAGGCCAGCCTGGTTCTACAAAGCAAGTCCAGGACAGCCAAGGCTACACAGAGAAACCCTGTCTTGAAAATAAAACAAAAAACAAAGCGAACCGACAAGGAAGAAAACCCCAGCTCCTCAGAGGGTGAACAGAATGTCCCTGCCGGCTTCCCCCGGCTGCACGTCTACCTCCAGAAACCTTTACTATGCACTCGCATGCACAGCACCAATCCCTGCACACACACAAAAAAATCTCCGCATGCTCAACTCAATACAATTTTCCCTAAGATTTTATTTTTAAGACAGTCTTGCTGTGTAAGTCCGGCTAGCCTAAAACTCTCACTCTGCCTCAGCTTCCTGAGTTCTGGGATCACAGGTGTGAGCAACTGCACCCGCCTCTGAGTGTCTTGAGTTGGTATGTGGCTGTGCCTTCATTATCGTAGCTGCCTGATAAACTCCTACTCATCCTTCAAAACCCCACAAGCGCTCATGAAAACACAGACATTGTGCCAAGTGGGGAGAGAGTTGGGAGAGAAGATGATGACAGGCTGCAGAGAAGGCATCAGAAGAAATGACATAATCCAGGTGTAGTGGCACAAGAGATCTCAGCGCTTGGATGGCTGAGGCAGGAGTGTGGAGAGTTCAAGGCCAGCCTGAGCTACATGGTGGGTCAGAGGCTAGAACAAAAAAAAAAAAAAAAAAACGTCAAAAGGCCCACTGCTTAGATCTGCAAGTCAGGCAGAAGCATCACGGGAAGGAAGCCTTGCTCACACCTCTCCCTGGGCCTCCCTGGCTGTAGGCTCCCAGCTGAGCCGGCTGTGGGGTGACTCAGGGCAGCCAGGGTGGGGAGAGATGGGACGGGATGGGGGGGCAGCATCTCGGGAGGAGGACATGGCTGGGGGCTTACAGTTCCACCACGGGCCTCCAAGGCTTGTCGTAGTAGACAAGGCGGGGGCAGCCCAGGTCCTTGTACGGGTAAAACACCAGCAGGTCGTCCTGGGCTTCGGCCTCATGGTTGACCGGGTCGTAGGCTTCCCTTTGAGGAGACACGGAACCCTGTGCTCAGCAGCCAGCCCGGGTCTGCTTGCTTTTACACCTCAGGTCCTGACAGCCACTGACCAGTCACTGCCGACCCCGGCCGGCCCAGAACTGGCAGTTATAAGCCCTTTATTCATGGATTTCTGAACACCTTGTGCCTCCCTGTGTCTGTGCGTGCCTGCGTGTGTTTGATCAAGGCATTTTTAAGCCCAGCTTGAGAGTCTCCTGAGCGTGAGTGGGGCCACATACAGTCAGTTGACAGCCACACAGAGTCCAAGGTGAACTGCCCACCTTCCTCCCCCCAGCCCGTGGGTGGTAAGGAATTCTTGGACAGACCCTCTCGTGGGGAGGGTCTGTCCCACGGTGGGCGCTGCCACCCCTGGGCTGGTGGTCCTGGGTTCTATAAGGAAGCAGGATGAGCAGGCCATGGGAGCAAGCCATCGAGCAGCACCCTCCATGGCTTCTGCATCGGCTCCTGCCTCCAGGCTCCTGCCCTGACTCCCTAGATAATGAACCACAAGCTGTAAGCTGAAATAAACCACCCTCCTCCCACCCTCCTCCCACCCTCCTCCCACCCTCCTTGCTCAGCCATGGGGTTTTATTACAGCAACAGAATCTTAAGACACAAATTAGTGCCAGGACTTGTGTGTTGATGTGACAGACTCAGCCATGTTATTTTGGGGAGGAGTGTGGAAGGAGTTTGGAACTTTGGGCTGGAAAAGTCATTGGGTCATCAGGACTCAGTTAGCTGTGGTGAGACACTGAAAGATAGAAATGTCGAGAGAAGGGCAGATGGTGGAGGCCTGGCTTGTGGGTTTTAGAGAGGCCCTCAAAGACTCTGTCTGGGCCCTTTGACATTCTGCACTGAGAATCTGTGATTTACGCCCAGCACTTGGGAAGCAGAGACAATCAGATCTCCGAGTTCAAGGAGATCTAACCTGGTCTAAGGAGTGAATTCCAGGGCAGCCGGGGCTACACAAAGAAACCCTGTCTCAAACAAACAAACAAACAAACACAACAAGAAGACAATCGGGGATGTTTGATATTTGAAGTAAGAGTCTGTGGTTATGCTTAGCTGGGTCTGAACAAGTGACTGTGTTTATGAGAGAGAGAGCATTACTGAGGGGAAATCTTCTGGGAAGTGTTTCCTGAGTCAGCACACAGAAGCTCTGTGCACAGGTGGTACCACATGCGGGCGGCTGGACTTGGTAATGTGTGAGAATCCCCAAGCTGGTCCTGGCTTTGGAGGCAGGAAGGGGTTGTGGAGAACAGCTGGGGCTTGGCACTGGGAGAGGCCAGGAGAGGGCGCTGGTGAAGGTGCAGCCTCAGTGGCAGTTGGAGGACTGAAGGATCATGCAGAGAGGGTGAGGTGCGGGCCCCATGAGAAAGCCCAGGTGGGGCTCTCGGTGAAAGATCAGCCTCAGTTTCGGGCGTGTTGGAGACTCCACGATTGTGGGTGACTGCGGAGGACAGCTGCAGGTGTGGGGTGGAGCCAGCCTGAGCCCGGAAGACAAGCCGTGTGCGCTGCAGAGGGCACAGCTGGAGAAGTGGAGCTGAAGGCTTCTGGAGCCCAAACAACTGTGAGTTCTAGACGTGAGACACTGAGCCACAGGACCTGATTTTCAATCTGGATCTTGGTTTTACTGTGACTGTGAACAGTGCCCTGGTTCTTCCCTCTTAGAGTAAGAAAGTATTTAACTTACTGTTTTTATTTTATAGGAGTTCTGCAGGCAGAAGGTTATTATGTAATTCAAACGCTGATTTCTGTGACCCCCCAACCCCATCTGGTTGCTATCCCTGTTCTGAGGATCTCCTGTCTGAATGTTGTGTAAACACTGCTCCCCAATTGTCCCCTCATATGCCAATAAAGCAGCTTACAGCCAGTCACTGAGCAGATGAGAGGATAAGGCTGGGTTTCCTGGAGGAGGCTTTAGAGGAGGAAATAGGGGATTTAGTCACAAGCAGACGTCCAGGAGATAAGAGGAGAAAACAGCTGAAGGGAGAAAGCCATAAAGTGCCAGCATCTCTGGGATTTGTGCTGGGAGGAAGCCAGACTAGTTTAGAGGGTTAATTGCTCAGTATTGTACTGCAAAGCTTGATAAACAAATAACACAATAGAGTCTCAATTATTTGGGTTATAGCTGGGTTAAGAGAGAAACCGAGAAACAACACAGTTTTATAAAAATAACCTTAACAGAGTTCACAGGTAAGGGACGTTAGACTTTTAAAGAGATGCTGGATGTATTTCAGGAAACTGAAAAAAAAAAAAAATGTTGTGTTTGAATTTTTCAAGCCTGGATGTTTAGAAGTCGGACTGTGTTCTTAAATATAATGTTCGTATTAACGTGAGAGTGTTAGTATTAACACTGGGGGCAAACAGGGAAGGGAAGGTCACAGGCACCGGTGTGCCCTGTGTCAAGTCGGCAAGGGGCCAACTGTTGTGGCTGGTTGTTTTTGGTTTTGTTTAATATGATAAGCCAGGGTCATCTGTGAAGAGGGGACCCCAGTTGAGAAGACGCCTGTGGTGCATTTTCTGGATTAATGATTGAGGTGTAAGGCCCAGCTAGTTCGCTGTGTATAGGGCCGCTCTTGGGCAGCTGGTCTTCCGTTACTTAAGAAAACAGGCTGAGCAAGCCATGGGGAGCAAGCCGGGAAGCAGCGCCCTCCACGCCCTCTGCATCAGCCCCTGCCTTCAGGCTCCTGCTTTGAGCTCTTCCTCCCCGGCTGCTTTTAGTCTTATCATAGTAACAAAAAGCTAACCAAGACGGCTTCAGCCAGCGGCTGGGGCTCGGCTTTGAGCCTCCTGCACGCCTGTGTGTCCCACGGTCCCCGGGGCCAGATTTCAAGCACTTACACTTGGCCCTGGTCTGACCCAATGTGAGGGGGGCTGGGAGGCGGGCCACACTTACTTCTCGATGGTGTAGGTGTAGTTCCTCTGCAGCTGCACTGGGTCGAGGATTCCCATGGAGCAGGCGGAGATTTTGCTGTAACGGGAGAGCAGGGAGGGCCTGACTAGGAGGTGGACCGGGAAGGGGTGAGGTGCCCTTCACCCTGCAGCAGAGAGGCTGGGAGGGGCCGGGTGCCCTGCGGGGTGCCCGTGATGGCTCCAGATCCTTGTTGGGAAGTTAACATGTTGTGGCTGCAGAGAATGCTCACACTGGGGAGGGGCGCACCACGAGAGTAATGCCGAGTAATGCCAGCTCCAGGCCGTAAAGCCAACTCTGTGCTGGGGCACTCAGAGAGATCTTCCATTTCACGCTCACACACACTCAGTCACACGCACCCTCACGGTCACCCACACTCACACACTCACATGCTCACCCTCGCTCACATACACTGTCACATACACGCTTACGGTCACAGCTACACTCACGTATACGCACACATGCTGACACACATAGTAGAAAGGGCAAGTCATCTTGGGAAGGTCAGGGCACGGCCTTACTAACCGCCCGAGTCACGCACACTAGTGCACGATCCAGGGCCCCGAGCGCGCCCCCCCCCCCCCACACACACACGGCTGCCGCACTCCTGGCCGCGGCTGGCCGCCTCCAGGGATTCAGGGATTTACTACAGAACTCTGCTAAACACACATAAAAGTAGGTGGCCAGTAACGGGGCCGGCCCACCCCGCCCCTTCAGCCCAGGGCTGGCTGGCGCACTCACTTCTGCACGATAATCTTCTTGGTCAGGTCACAGCCAACTGAGATGAGAGTGGACTGCAAGGGACAGAAGCAGAGGCGTAGGGCACTCCACAGAGAGCCCGGGTCAGCCCCGCCCCTGCCAGCCCCGCCCCTGTGCAACACCCGCTGCTATGCCCTTGCTCCACAGCATCTGATCCTGACACAGTGGCTCTTCTGGCTGGCCTTCCCAGACCTAAGCTCCAGCCTCAGGAAATGAAATACCTCTTCATCCCCACCTCTTCATAGAGTTCAACTGTGTGTAAGAACTGTATTCCTTTTCCTGGCTATTTATTCCACTCCTCCACCCACCCCCACCCCCCCTGTTGTCCACAAGGCTTTGAATGATGTGTGCATGGGTCTCTGCATGCCTGTGTGGTTTTTTTTCAAGTCTCTGGGAGCATCTAGAACGCTGGTTCTCAACCTGTGGGTCACGACCCACAAACTTCTGGCAGACCTCTAGCTCCAAAAAAATGTTTACATTACAATTTATAATTGTAATGCAACAAAAATACAATCTACGGAGTACGAACAAAATTTGTTTGTTGTTTTTCAAGACAGGGTTTCTCTACGTAGCCCTGGCTAGCCTGGAACTCGTTCTGTAGACCAGGCTGGCCTCGACCCCAGAGCTCTGCCTGCGCCTGCCTCCTGAGTGCTGGGATCGAAGGCGTTCCCCACCACCGCCTGGCAATGAAGGTAATCTTATGGTTGGGGGTCACCACAGCACGAGCTGTGGTACAGAAAGGTCCCGGCACTAGGAAGGCTGAGCGCCGCTGCTCCAGAAGTACTATTTCCTCAAGTTGGCCAGAGCTGGTTCTAGAGATGACCTGCAGGCTGCCGAGGGACAACTGTGGGCAACGGTGACCCCAGACACCAGGCGACAGCACTGTCATTTTGTTTCCAAACCAGGCCCTGCCCAGCGTGGAGCCTGCTGGCATGACTCAGCCTGTGACTGAACACCAGGCCTCGAAGGGGCGCACGTACCAGGGGCTTCACCAGGCCTCGAAGGGGCGCACGTACCAGGGGCTTCAGGTCCACACACGCGGTTGTCTTGTCAGCAATGTCCACCGTCACGGAGGAGATGGCGTTGCGCTTGATGCTGTGGTGCAACGGGGCAGAGAGTCTGTGCCATCGTGGTCACTGTGCACTCACTGAACCTTTAACTCACTCATTCTGCCAACCAGCCAGCCACACACACCATCAACCATCCAACTGTCCATCGTCCGTCCTCCGTCCACCCGCCCGCCCGCCAACAGATCTGTCATGGTTACCCTTGATTGTCAACCTGACACAGTCAGGAAGAGGATCTGTCCCGATCAGATTGGCCTGACCCTACTTCCTCAGCGCTGAGGTCACGGTCATGCGCTGCTGTCCTCGGGACCTGAGGTGCTGGGCCTGGAGCCCAGAGCACCATGCATGCTGGGAAGCTGCTCCACCAGTGAGCTCCAGTCCCAGACCTCGGCGACAGCTCTAATCTTATTAGAATGTTCCAGAACTGGGGCTGCTGCTCGGCTCTGCTCTCCTCTGGGAACCCCTGCAGACGGCAGGGGGAGCAGCCTCACGTAGGCATGATGTCATTGTCCGCTGTGCTCACTTCTGTGCCCCCACATCTGGTTGCAGTCCTCCTTCTGAGACCCTCCAGTCTAAACTTTGCTCCCCAATTGTCTCCCAATTGTCCGTAACTCAGCTTAACAGCCAGTCACTGAGCAGGGAAGAGAACAGGACTGGGCTTCCTGCCAGCCAGGAGAGAAGAGAGAGAGAAAGAGGGGAAGCAGGAATTCAGCCAGAGGTTCAGGAGGCATGATAAGAGAGCAGCTGGAGGTGAGAAAGCCATAAAACGCAAGAATCTCGGGATTTTGGCAAAGAGGAAGTCAAACTAGCTCAGAGGGTTAGGACAGAGTAAGAACTTCTCACTTTCTCACTATTGTGCCTTAAAGCGTGCTACATAGATAACATAATCCAGTCTTAATTATTTGGGCGCCAGCAGGGTGGGGTGAGAAACTGCCACACACATTGATAGAGGTAACCCCGCCAGCCTTGGGCCCTGAGACCATGTCAGCTACCTGGTGGTGAAGGTGTGGTCTGCGGTGCCCCAGTGGTGCTGTTGCTGGAGTTCAATTTCCTGTAAAATGGCAGCAGGGGCAGAGACAGGGACAGACAGAGGCGGGAGACAGACACACACACACAGACAGCCGGTTGCAACAGGCTTCTGCCCAGATGTCACCCCCAAATAGGTCGGGCTGGTAAGGGAGGGGTGACCCGTAGACACTTGTCCATCGGCTGCCCAGCCCCACCATGTCCTCATTCTACGCCATAAGTGACACCAGCCCTGGGTGGCCCTACTGAGCTGTACTGTCTCTCCCTGCCTGCTCAGGTGAGGTCACGTGACTAGTCATGTGATCCTAGGTACCACAAGTCCAAGCTCTCGTCGTGATGGGTGCAAGGGGACAACTGACTCCACCTGGTCCCCTGCTGGGACCCAGCCCCCTACCTAGGCTTTCCCAGCTACCTCAACACTCAGCCTCACTGTGTCCGGGGCACCCCTCCTTTCCGATGGGACAGAACCTATGTGGGCGGTGGCTGCCTGTCCTGCTGGGGGCAGAGGGCCCGTGTAGGAAGAAGGAAGGCTGGTCCTTTCACAGCACGCAGACATGCTGGCATGGAGGGCTGAGCATGTGGCTCATTCAGCCTTTGAGGGGCCAAGGCAGGATGACATAGTTCACGGCTGCCCTGGCCTTTAGAGGGTCGCCATGTCTCACTAACACCAAACGGGAAAGGCCAGAGTCCGGGATATTGTTGGGTTTGGGTCAAGGCCCCACCACAGCCGCAGCCACACACCAGTTTGTACTTATAGCTGCCGTCGAATGTGTTGCCAAACTCTGAGATGCTTGCCTCGAACCCCAGGGAGTGCGGGTTGCTGACCATCACCTGCGACACAACACACAGATAGCTGTGCTCCAGGCTGACGGAAATCCGGCCTGCCAGCCTCAGCAAACACAGGGGGGATCTGCACACAAGGCCTGGGTGCCACGCTCACCTGAATGTCTGCCTGTCAGCTACAGCCTCAGAGCCGAGGCCGGGAGCTGCGGGACACAGCAGGATGGCGGGGACAAGAGGGAGAGTGGGGGTCTTCGGGAAGAAGCCTGACTGCGAGGAGGAAGGTACAAAGGAAAACAAGATGGAGGACGAGGAGATGGGGAAGAAGACATGAAGGGATGGAGGAGAACATGGAGGAAGGGGATAAGGAAGGAAAAAAGGAGAGGAGGAGAGGGACAGGAGGAATGTGGAAGAGGCAGGCAATGGGAGAAGAGAGGAAGTTTGGACAAACAGGAAGCTCTGGGGTTGTAGGCCAGCAACACTGGGACAGGAAGCTCTGGGGACAGGCTGGAGCATGCAGGCTAGTCCTACTCACCAGTGGGATGGGGGACTTGCCAGGCCGGGGCACAAAGAGGGCAGACAGCTCCAGCTTGCTGTTCATGTCTATGGTGAACATCTGATCTATCATGTTGCTTTCCAGAACCTCCACCTGGGGAAGATGGCAGGCTGAAGGGAGAGCCTGTTCCCCAGGGCGCAAGCAACAGCTGCATGACAGGCAGAGCATCTTATCTCCGAGAGGGGGGCCGCACTACACCCTGTGTCCCCAGAGAGAGTGATGTAGACCACCGGCCCCCTCATGGCTTTTCCTTCTTCTACAATGCTTTTGCTTTGTTTCTTGCAAAATGGGGGCTGAACCTGCTCAGTAGCATTTGCTGTACAGGTTCTCCACCCCTTGCCATGCCCCCAGCCCCTCACTGGGGAGTCTAGGTGGGGTTCCACCCCTTGCCACGCCCTGAGCCCCTCACTAGAAGTTCTCCGAGGGTCCTCACCCAAGCCACACCCACAAATTCATTTTTACTGTTTCCTTCTTTTTCTTTAGATTTATTTATTATGTATACAGTGTTTTGCCTGCATGTACACCTGCGTGCCAAAAGAGGACATCAGGTCTCTTTAAAGATGGTTGTGAGCCACCATGTGGTTGCTGGGAATTGAACTCAGGACTTTTGGAAGAGCAGCCAGTGCTCTTAACTTCTGAGCCATCTCTCCAGCCCCTCAATTTTTTTCTTTAAACATAAGATCTTGTTGAGTTGCACAGGCTTGAGCAGAATTTGAAATCCTTTACCATAGTCTCCCAAGGAGCTAGAATGACGGTCCTCTGCCACCATCTCTCACTCTAATTTTTCTCCCTCAGTTTCCCCCATTCTAAAAAGCAGAGCCGAGCTCAGGGAGTGGCTTACTAAAAGGTGATTCGCCTCCACCTAGGGAGCATTCCCAGTGCCACCAGCTACCCAAAACAAATAACCACAAAGGTCATGGAGCATTGCCGTGGATTGTGGGAATCACCTACATTGCATGGTTCAATCTCCAGGGTAGGGTCACTGAGAATGGCTTGCACATTCACAGTACATTTGAGAAAGTCAAACGCTGGGGAAGATGAGTCAGGGACCGGGGTGAGGACCTCCAGCATGCCGCCATCCTTAAAAAAGAGGCCCGTGGTCTCAGACCAGAGAGACTGCTTCAACAGCTGTGGGAGAAAGCAAGTTCTGAGATCAAATCCTTGTATTGCATCTTTTCTTGTTGTTTTATTTCTACAGGGCCTTACTCTGTAACCCAGGCTGGCCTCAAAAAACACAGCAATCCAGGCCCGGCATGGTGGTGCACGCCTATAATCCCAGCACTCAAGGAGGCAGAGGCAGATGCATCTCTGTGAGTTCGAGGCCAGCCTGGTCTACAAAGCGAGTCTCCAGAACAGCCAAGGCGAAACAGTTACATTTAATTATGGTGTGGGTGCGTGAACGGTGGAGGTTGGAGGACAACTTGGCGGGAGCCAGTTCGCTCCGTCCACTGTTGGAGGTTGGTCTGATGATAATTATTGGCCTGGTGTAAACCTGAATAAGTCATTATACCTGATTGGCGAGGAGACAGCCCAACCCTGGGCAGGGGAGAATGGGGTAGGCGTGGCTAAGGTTCCCGGCTCTGGAGAATTCAAGTGGGAATCATGGGAAGAGAAGAAGGAAGAGGTCACCGTGTAACCCATGGTGGGTGAAGAAAAACACACATGAGGCAGGGAGGAAGGATCCAATAATGGTGTGAAACGGCCCAGATGAATAAAAGCAAGTACTTATGAGATTATGGATGGAAGATAAGATGGGGGCGGGGAGACGGATGGTGAGGATACTGAGACAGGGTAAGTGAAATATCTGGCCCAAGGTGAATAAGGCAATTATAAATCCAACAGGTGCCTGAGTCTTGTTATTGTGATAGCGGGTTAAATAATACCACCACGGTAATCTTAGGGCCAATAATTATCATTTCATAGCCCAACACCCATTTGATTTTGTTATTTACTGCAACAGTCCACCATGTAGACCCCAAGGGTCAAAGTCAGATGGGCAGGCTTGGTGGTCGAGGGAGTTGTGGTCTCCGAGCCTGCCAGTCGTGCCTGCCTGCTGTGTGTGTGTGTGGTGCAGCTTGGCCACACCGAACGTACTCTCTCAGGAGTGGCAACGCCCACTTCAGATGTAGAGTGCTTTGTTCTGCTTTGGGGTGCTGGGGGTTTGAACCTGGGTCCTGATTCTGTCAGGATACCTGTGTAGGGTGGGTCTTCCTGGCCAGAGTGGTTGCCTAGCACCCATAAAGCCCTGCATTCACCTGCAGTACCCCAAAACTGGGCACAGGGGTGCCTGCCATCGGAGGATCAGGACTTCATGGGCGTCCTGGCTACCTATGGAGTTTAGGCCTTGCCTCGAAACAAAAGGACATTCCACTAGCATGATTCCCAGGCTTAGAGGGAAGGTGAACATCACAGCTGTCGGCCAAGCCCTCGGACACACTTGGATCAATTCTGTTCCCAGGTAATTCTGACTCCCGTAAAACATGAGGTCTTCCCGGGTCAGCAAAGCCATCTCGTAATTATCTGGGAAAGAGAGGGCAAAAAGAGGGGCGGTGTCAGGTGCAGGGGCCAGTGGGCGGGCTCAGCAGGTGGAAGTGCTTGCTGCCAAGCCAAAGACCCAAGTTCCATTCCTGGGACCCAACTTGTGTAAGCTGTCCTTTGACCTCCACACGCTCACCCAGGCACACACGGGAACATCCTCACACCCACACACCTGAAAGAAGCAAGCAGAGACAGAAGAAACAAACAAAAGGCAAAGATCAGACGTCACTCACTGGTGACACCCACCGGGATCAGAGAGAAAGCCCAGGAGGTCACATGGCAACGACAGCTTAGCTGAGGAGCTGTGGCGCCCCAGCCGGTCGCACACTCAGCTTGGGCAATCACAGCGCCAAATCCTAACCAATCACACCCAACCACACCCATCCAAGTAAACCAGACACAGCCGCAGCTCAGCCAGTCACCGAATGCCTCGCCTGTGACACGTTAGTCACCGCTTCAACCAATTACACAGGTTGATGAGCCTCAATAGCCAAATCCGAGCCTCAGCCAATCACAGGCAGGGAGGGAGGGGGCAGGCAGGACGGCTGAAAGGGGGCCGAGAGGCGGGATAAAAGAGAGCGAGCTGAGACAGGCTGGCAACGTACTCCAGGCAACGCTGTGGATGGTGATGTTGGCTTTGATGATATCTGTAGTCACGGTGGTCTTCCCTTTCTTCAGGCGCACGGTGTCCACGATCTGGCCTAGGGAGGGACAGGTAGACTGTGATGACCCATAAAGACAGCATCTCACAGAAATTCATCCACACTGCAGGGCCAAGGCCTCCCCGCACTAACCCCCCTCTCCCGTCCCCCATGGCCTCTCCTCTGGATTCATTGGGTTCTTACATCCTGCTATTGGTTTGCTATTCAAAAGACCAAGAAGAGAATTTCAGTGTGGTCAGGGGTGGAGCCCCGCCTAGGATGCCCCAGTGAGGGGCTGGGGGCGTGGTCAGGGTGGAGCCTCCATTTAGAACCCACCAGTACTTCCCTGACTTCAGACCTTCAGCGCCTCTATAAAGGTCTAGCTCAGCTTGTAATCCTACCAATAAGAAGGCACAACCAGGAGAGTCCCTGGGTCTTGCTGACCAACCAGCAAGTCCCAGGGGTTAAGTGAAATTTTACAAATAGAGATATACATGTATCACATAAATGTGGAAAAATAAAACAATTGAGCTATCGACTCCCTCTGGCAGACTCCGTGGACATGAACATGTACAGAGGCCCGAGGTCCCTCAGCCCACACTGACCCCGCTGGAGGAGGCCGACAGGACGTGGCTCACCTGCATTGGGCGACACCAACAGGCTTGTCTGGCTCCAGAGGATCAGAAACCCCCTCTGACATGGTTTGATGATGACGTCAAGGAACTGGTTGTACTCAAAGGATATCCCCGCACTCTGGTTCAGGGGGTACTCCGTGTAGAAAAACTTCGCCTGAGATGAGATGAGAGAGGTGGCCGAGTCACTGTGGCCTGCATCCACTGCGACAGTCCTGTCCAGTGCTGCCAGCATTCCCAGCATCCTGACGCACTGTGGAAGTAGGTGCCCCTCAAGGCAGGGAGGTGGCCACCAGGACTGGGGGAGCTCCAGGGACAGGGTGGGAGAGGCCAAGGACTCTGCCCAGCCCCAGGTCCTCCCAGGGCACTCCACAGTGCATGTCCTGCAGGGCGACCCTCCTGTGTCTGACCAAGGGGGAAGCAATGGAGAGTAGTTTTGTTTTTTGTTTGTTTGTTTGTTTTTTAAGGACTTTTGAAGGATTGCTGATCTGTGTGTGTGTGTGTGTGTGTGTGTGAGTACAGGTGCCCACAGAAGCCAGATGCTCCAGAAGCCCTGAATCTGGATTGTGGGAGGTTGTGAGTCACCCAGTCCAGATGCTGGGAACTGAAGTCAGGACCTTTTCAAGGCTGGGGCTCAATGCGGACCGCTCATGGTCAGCGTTCGTTGTGACTGAATCTCCAGTCACCTGGGAGACAAGCCTCCAGGCGGCCCTGGCGGATCTGGGTGTGTATACGGGGTGAGAGTTGATTAGGTTAACTGAGGTGGGAAGGTCCAGCCATTCAGGCAGCACACTCCCCGTGCAGGGGTCCCAGGCATAGAAGAGCTGAGGGAGAATGGGCCAGCAAACTGCACTCCTGTGACCTGGGAGCATGAGGCAGATAAAGCCTTTCGTCCCCAAAGTAGCTTTTGGTTAAAGTGTTTACCACAGCGATAGAAGGAAACTGTACAGGAACCAACCTCCTGCTGGGCCCATAGCTTGTGCTTTCAATATAAGCAGCATCTTGTAGAGGAATGTTAATTCAGAACATGGCTGTTCTGGCAAGAGATCACATGCAAAGACCTTCTAGGTCTGTGCGATCCAGCTGGGATATTAACACACCTTTAATCCAGGAGACAGAGGCAAGCAGATCTGAGTTCAAGGCCAGCCTGGTATAGAGCAAGTTTGGGGTAAAGAAAAGCTTAGGTTTAGGTGTGACAGTATGCGCCTTTAATCCCAAACAATGAAGGTATAGTTTGTAGAAGGAAACAGCCATGTTTGAAAGTGATGTCTAATTGGATGGCAGAAACAGTGACGGATCAGAGAAAGAATTGACAGAATAAGCTATGCCCAACTCTCAGGAGAAGAGAGAGGAAAGGGAAGGTGCTTAAGGGGCAATGCAGAGAGAGAGGAGGCAGGTTTGCCAGGACAGTACTAGAGAGACAGGTTGCAGAGAGAATTCAGGTGAAGACCAAATGAGCCAGAGAATGAGAGGGGGCCAGATGACCGGAGTTAGTTTAAGGCCGAGCAGAGTAATTCAGAGGCTGAGAGAAAAGACAGGTTGAATAAGTCAGCTCTTATTAAGAGGAGTTTGAGCCACAACAGCTGAGTCGAATCAGCCAGCTATAAGCTCAGAAAGAACAGGAAAGGCTGAGCTTACTCAGCAGTAAGTCTCAGAGGTGGGAAACATGCTAGGCCTAGATTAGATCAAATGGAGACTAGAAGCTTCCAGGACTAGGCCTAGGTTAAAGGACAGAGGCAGTAAGCCTCCCCGACAACAACAGAGCCAGGCAAATAAAACTTTTTCAGCAACCTGGGGCAGAAGTGGGGCAGGTTACCAGAGTGGCTTGGGGGAGAACAGAGTTTCTTGGGGTCAGTGATAGCACTGTCAGGAGACATTTGGAGTTAGCTGGCGTGCAGGGGCAGCACAGATGCCTGAGGCACCCAGGAAAGAGACTAGGCCACCGGGAGGTAGGCCTGTTTTGGGAACACATCGGCCACACGGTACATTCTGGGTGCGGTTCACTGTGCACACGCTCCCGTCCTGGACAAAGGCTGACATGGCCTCTCACAGGGAGCAGATTGGTTCACTGTGATTATGCCCCTCTTTCAAGAGCACAGTGCCATGCAGGCCAGCATGGGTCACGAGGGCCATGCAGAGCAGGCCAGCTGCACCTCCTGCGACCCCCCTGCCTGCAGAAATGCTGCATGAGCTGGAGGGCAGGCTGGTGGTGCCCCATACGTTCCATCCCAGGACTCAGGGACAGCAGGGTCCCTGCACGGTCCGGCCAGCCTGCTCTACAGAGTGAGTCCGTGCTTCGGAAAACTAGGTAAGAAGGGGCTGGAATGACAGCTCATCTGTTAAGAGTACTAGCTGCTTTCGTAGAGGACCCCCTTTCGATTCTCAGTTGGACCTGGTGTAATTCCAGATCCAGGGGCTCTGACGTCTTTTCTGGCCTCCACTGCACCGGGCACTGATGACATTCAGTGCAGACACACACTCTGGAAAAACACCCCCCAACACAAAATACACAAACTCGTTAGCGCCATGCCTCCCTGGAATGCAGAGGTTTGGTGAGTGAGCACAGAAACCCCTGCCCCTGGAAGCTTCCGCCTTGTTTCACAGGAGTGCCCCTACCCCCTACGGGGACCAGGAGACCAGAAGGAGGACGCTTAGATGAAGAGGCGCTGGATGAGGTCACACTGCAGGGATGTTATAATTTACACGTACACCTTTAGGCGTGAATAGCTGTCATGTGTGCACGTCTAAGGAGACTAGGAAACGGCCCTGGATCCCACTGAGCTGGAGCTACAGATGGTTGGGAATCGCTGGGTGCGGATGCTGGAAAGGGAACCCCAGCTCTCTGTAGGCCAGAAGAGCTGCTGGGCTAGCGCCCCAGCCGCTGCCACTGCCGTCTGCTTCTTTGCTTTGGCTGTTTTGTTTTGTTTTTTGAGACAGGGCCTTACGATGTAGATCCAGCTGGCCTTGAACTCACAGATCTGTCTGTCTCTGCCTCCGGAGCACTGGAGTTAAAAGCATGCACCAGCGTGTCTGGTTCTCTGCTGTTTTCTTTTTTAGGCAGAGTCTCTCACTGGCATGGAAGTCATCAACTAGACCAGAATGATGGCCCAGAGGGCCCTGGGTATCCTCCTGCCTCCACACCCAAAGCTCTGGCATTTCCACTCTGCCACACATTTTTATCTGGGTTCTGGCGGGTGGAACTCAGGTCCTCACACTTGCATGTCAAGCATTTTGCTGACTGAGCCCAAAGATACAGTTTAAAAACACTACTGTGTAGTGAGAATTTTGGAGTTTCTGTTTCTTTTAAAAACATAGAAATAGCTGGGCATGGTGGCACACGCTTTTAATGCCAGCACTTGAGGAGGCAGAGGCAGGCAGACCTCTGTGAGTTTGAAGCCAGCCTGGTCTACAAAACAAGTCCAGGACAGCCAGAGCCACATAGAGAAACCCTGTCTCAGAAGAAACAAAACAAAATAAAATAAACAACAACAACAAAAAACAAAACAAAACAAAACACAGAAATATTGTTAAGAATGTTTTTGTTTTAGTCCCAGGGGTGAGACATGGGGCTGCTTTGAAGCAGCTGACTATGATTGGCCTCGTGCTCTGGTAGAGGTGTGGTCTTGCCAGATTCAGATAGTTTCTGCGAGTGGGTGATGTTTGGCATTCTGGGAACTTTTCAGGGGGTACACAAATGCTGGAGCTCTGAGAGATGGGAATGTTGCTGTTGTTGCTGGTTTCTGGTGGTTGCAGTTTGTTAAAAGAAGAAATGAGGAAGAGGAGAAGAAATTAGATATCCTGATGGTGAAGATCAAAAATGCTCCAAGGAGCTCAACGCTGGGAAGTAGCAGGAAGTAGTCTAAATGATGTTGCCCTTGTCCCAATCCTTGACTTTATTCGGGGATCTCTTTCCTTTCCTCTCTAACCTTTTTTCTCTTTTATCTAGTGTTAGGAAGCTGAAAGGGTGGAAAAAGCGTGGAGAAGGGTAGAAGAAGGAAGAACCCACAAAATAGCAAATGTCAGTTACAAATGGCGCCCAACTTGGGGATAAGCAGAATGGGAAATGTGATTTCAAATGCCAGAATGGATATTTTGTTTCAAGACACTAGCAAAAAAGTTTCCTGGGGCTGTTACTTCTGGGATATCTGCCCCCCACAAGGGGGATTTTCTGTTTTTCCTTCCTATATTCTGTCTCAGAAAAAGGGTGGAAGAGTGGCTGAGCAGTTGGAAAAATTTGTGGGTGAAAATGGAGGGACCTGAGAAATAAACAAAAAAAAAAAAATGGCTGAGATGGGAAAACGAAAGGGGTCACTCTACACTCTACTTTCTTTTTTCTGAAGGTGTCGCAGAGTTGGCAGGGCAAATGGAAAAATTGCAGGTGGGGGTGGAAGCACAAGGGAAGTGAGGGGCACTGGAAAAGGGAGAACAAGAAGGCTCAGTCCCAGTGACTGGACAAGAGAGCGGGCCTTTCTCACAGGAGGAAAGAGGGAAGGAAACCTTGCCAGAGGTGAGAGAAGAGCTGAAAAGGCCGGAAAACAGTCTGATGAAACAGCCCATTTTCAGAGAAAGGGTCAATCTCAAACAAACCATGCCACCAGAGTGGGAGGAGGGGCAGCCCAGGGCTATGAAATCCCCATCAACTTTCCCAATAGTCATACAGCATATGCCTGCTAATGGTGTGGAGCAAGGCTGTGACATGATAGGACAGTGTCCTGTGGAAATGATAGATCATTTTAAAGAGGACATGATTTCATATGGGATGCACTCACCTTATGTAAAATAAATTCTAAATAAGGGGGTACTCAAAATAGAATTATTCCCCAAGACTGGAAAGGGTTGGTGACGGCTGTACTGGAGGCCAATCCACAGTTGCAGTGGTTAACATGGTGGGGAGAAGATGCTACGAATATTGCACAGCAAACATAGAGTGAGGAGAATGGATAGTAAAAGGCCAGCTGCTGGGTGAAGGGAGGTACTTTGATCTACAAGAACAGATCCAGTTTGATGATGCTACTATAGAACAATGTCTCTTAGCAGCTTTAAGAGCATGGGGCAAAGTTGTGGAATCCAGGGAAAGGTCCACCTTGTTAACAAAGATTACACAAGGCTCTGGAGAAGCTTTCGCTGATGATTTTTTTTTTTTTTAACAAAGATTAGTCTCAGCTGTGAACAATCATATCCGAACCTGATGTAGGGCAGGCTGGTAGAGACCTGGGTGTATGAAAATGCAAATACTGAATGTTAAAAAGTTTATTAGACCATTAAAGCAGGGAGCAGCACCTGTGGAAAACTGGATAAGGGATATTGATTCTAATGTGTACCGTGCTAATATAATAGGTCAAGCTATAGCTAGTGAGCTATAAGCTATTGCTTATAGGCTATAAGCTGTTGAGGTCTCCCATATCAAAATGTCCATTGCTTCAATTGTGGGAAGTATGGCCAATTTGAAAAGAGATTGTGACACGCCACTAAAGGTCTCAGATCTCAAAAGGTTTGGTGCTTTAATTGTGGAAAAGTTGGACATTTGCAACAAAACGGTAAATAAGGCATCTCTAAGGGCAATGGGTTTTCTAAATATAAACCAGAAAGAAGGCCCAGGCTTCCAGGGGTGTCCAGGGGTGATGTGGCATGGGCTGCCATTGGACGAATGTAGGTCCAAGAGAGCTATCTAGAGCAATTTCTTGCCATTGGGAAACATCCTTGGGTGCCTAACTTGAGTCCCTGCAGCAAAAAGTACAAGCTGTTTCAGATAAAAGCAGCTGAGAGTCACCAGGTTATAGAAAAAACTGTGGAATTAAATCAACCTATATTCTATAAGGATGTGTTAACATCAAAATGGAAGCCTGCAAAAGTTTTACATTGGGGATGCATATTTGTTTATATTCCCATAGAAAAGGAAAAGTTGTAGATACCATCAAAACATTATCATTATTATTATTTTGGTTTTTGTTTTTTCAATACAGGGTTTCTCTGCGTAGCCTTGGCTGTCCTGGACTTGCTTTGCAGACCAGGCTGGCTTTAAACTCACAGAGATCTGGCTGCCTCTGCTTCCCTGAGTGCTGGGATTGCAGGCATGCAGCACTGCACCTGGCTTCATCAAAACTTACAAAGATTAGAACTGAGCATGAGAGGTCTCTGAAAACCTTGGCTACTGACCCCAAAAGCACACAGTTCATTGAAATTGTCTGTTTATAATTTCCCACGGCACCTCGCACAGTTAGTGGCTTCAAAGAGAAGGTGGGAAACATAGTGGGAATCTTGGGGGCTCGGTTTCTTTGAAAAACAAAGAAAATATCATAAGAATATGTTTTTGTTTTAATCCCAGCTGTGGGGAGTTGGCCCCACAGATTTACCCCCTGTTCTAGCTGAGGTGTGGTTTTGCCAGCTGCAGATAAGTTTCTGCGAGAGTGTGACATTTGGAATTCTGAGGAATTCAGAAGGTTCATAAATGCTAGCATCCCAGAGGTGTGGTGGGTTGTTGCTTGGGTTTTTGGTCAGTTGTTTGCACCAAGTGGCCCGACACCCTAAATCAGCAGGAAGTGGCCTAACAATAATTCACAAAGTATAGCGCGAACGCCCTTACGATGCTGACCTGTGATTCTCAATGTGGTACCCCATCCCTTCTTGAGAAGACACCATGGGGAGGAGCGAGGACCTCTGTGCCCAGTAAGCCTGCACTGGCTCCCTGCAAGCTTGCTCTCTAGAGAGATGGCATCCGGGCTGCAGAAGCCCGGTGCTCGGGATGGCGGCAATCAGAAAGCATGAGAAGACTGTGCGTCCCTGTCCTGGCACAGGCACCCTCCTCCTCCAGGCCTTGCACACAGGCCTGCAGGGACGATGTATGGGACCCTGTAGTCCTGGTCACCGTCATCATGCTGAGCTGACTGCAGAGATGAGATGCCGGTCAAAGCTGAGCCTTGGCCAGCAAGCCCAAAGCACTCCCTCAATTACATCCACTCTCACCATCGCTCAGCTTTCCTCCTGGAGCTGCCCTGGTAAGGGATCGAGAGTGTTGCCTGCCATGACCAGCCTGTGGGGAAGGCGCCCTAAAGAAAGACTGTCAGTTCTACAGATACACAGGCCAGGGTGTGAGGAAAGCAAAAGTGCCAGTTGGGGCAGATCATCACCTTCACTTTCTGCTTTGCCTTGGGTTTGGATCATCAGTGAAGCTCTGCACAGAGCTTTCAGTGAGGGACGGGTGGGTGGAGGGGTGAGCAGATGGATGGGTGGACAGGTGGAGGGGTGAGCGGATGGATGGATGGACAGGTGGAGGGGTGGGCGGATGGATGGATGGGTGGACAGGTGGGGGGTGAGCGGATGGATGGATGGACAGGTGGAGGGGTGAATGGATGGATGGATGGACAGGTGGAGGAGTGAGCGGATGGATGGATGGACAGGTGGATGGGTGGGTGGATGGATGTATGGGTGAGTAAATGGGTAGGTGGATAGTGAGATAGATCGGTAGACGGATCGGGTACATGGATGGATGTTTCGTAGGGCAGGTGAATGGGTAAGTGAATGGGTGGACGTGTTAATGGGTGGGCTGATGTATGGATGAAGGGTAGACAGTGGATGGATGGAGGGATGGATGGACAGGTGGATGGGTGGATGAGTGGGCGGGTGGATGACTCAGTTGATGGGTGGCTAGGTAGATGAACGGGTGTGTAGCTGGATGGATGGCTGCCTGGCTGGCTAGCCAAATGGCTTGCTGGGTAGGTGGTACCTGCTGGGAAGATGAATGGAAAAGAGCGCAGGTGAGATACAGGGAGCAGCCTCCAGGTCTAGCACGCCTCGCCATGCCATCGTTTGGGAAGTAGAGGCGGCAGGATGCAAAATCTGAGAGCAATCTATATGAGACCGTATCGCAAAGTAACTAAGAGTAATCAACTAAACCACTGAAAGAGCCGAGTGCCACCGCCGGCCCCCTCCAGCCCCCAGCAAGGCCCCGGGTCTCTGAGGTCGCTCTTCACACCCCGTGCAGTGCTCACCGAGCCTTGTTTGATCACGAGTATCCCCACCTGAGACATGGAATGAAAGTAGAAGATGCCTCCTAGGGTCCCGTCAAATGCTGCCTGTGGGGAAAAACAGGATGATGGCGGGTGAGAGTCGACCACAGTAACATTTACCAGCGGAGACAACACCGTGCTTTGTAGTTAAGCCCTGAATAGAATCTACACTTTCCAAGCTCAGGAAGGCAAATCTCCTGCCTCCAGAATACAGCAGCCAGGGCAGACGGGGGTCGAGGACAAGGGGCGACACCCGTGACTAATCACAATGACAACCCAGCTCTGTCTTCCAGATTTCCCTGCTTCTTTAGCCCCACATTTTCATAAGATAAGCTAGCTTCCTTAAAGATGTGTTTATGCATTTTATGCTTATAATGCCCCGTCTGTATGTCCACCTGCACGCCAGAAAAGGGCACCAGATCCTGTTATAGATGGTTGAGAGCCACCGAGTGATTGCTGGAAATTAAATCCAGCACCTCTGGAAGAGCAGCCAAGTCTTTGTTCGGTTTGTTTGTTTTGTTTTGTTGAGACAGGGTCTCTCTGGGTAGCCCTGGCTGATGTGGAACTCCCTCTGTAGACCAGGCTGGCATCAAACTCACAGATCCGCCTGCCTCTGCCCCTAAGCGCTGGGATTAAAGGCATGCGCCACCACTGCCCAGCTCTGATGCAGAGGTCTTAAAAAAGACTCCCCTTCATTCTTACTAATGTGTGTATGTCTGCGTTAGCGGGTGCAGCTGCCACCAGGGGTCAGAAGAGGGCACCAGATCCCTGGGGGTGGATCTGGCTACAGGTGGTTGTGAGCTGTCTGATGGCAGTGGCAGGAGCTGAACTCTGGTCCTCTGAAAGAAAAGCCACTGCTCTAACCTTTGAGCCATCTCTCCAGTCTCCCTTCCCGGGTTTTGACTGGATAGAAAGTATCCAGTGGTTGAGGCTGGAGCTCAGTTGGTAGAGCACAAAACCCTGGGTTCCATGGCCAGCATCCCATAAGCCAAGTGTGTGCTGGGGCTGCTCTGTCATCCCAACACTTGGGCAGTGGAACAGGAGGGTCAAGAGTTTATAGTCTTAGCTGGTAACCATGGCACTTGCCTGTTGAGTGTTGTCTCCGCACTCAGGGAAAGCCTGATCTACAAAGCAAGTCCAGGAGAGCCAGAGCTACACAGAGAAACCCTGTCTCATAAAACAAACAAACAAAAAGACTTAAGGCTGCTGGACTGGTGTGGGGGTGCATGCTTTTAATCAAGCACTTCTGCGGCAGAGGCAGGTAGATCTTTGTGAGTTCAAGGCCAGCCTAGGCTACACAGTTGCAGGACAGCTCGGGCTATGTAGAGAGATCCTGTCTCAAAATGTCAAGAACAACAAAAAGACTTAAGACTGCTATGCTACTGTGTGCTTGGCCTGTCTATTCAGCCTGCCTTTTAGAGAACAATGTAGCAACCAACACTGCTATGCCTTAGAGTCCAAAAACAAAATGGTGGCCACCTAGGGCAAGCTTCTGCTTGCTCTGAGGCATAGTGCTTAAGAATGCTCACTTGGTAAAGAGTCACTTGGGGTCAGTTAAAGTGACTTCCTCCTTGTAAACCACATTAAGAGATTTCTGTAAAGTCCTTTACCGGGGGCTGGAGAGATGGCTCAGAGGTTAAGAGCACTGGCTGTTCTCCCAAAGGTCCCGAGTTCAATCCCACCAGCTACATGGTGGCTCACAACCATCTATAATGAGATTTGGTGCCCTCTTCTGGTGATTAAAGGTGTGCCCCACCACAGTAGACCAAATGCATACCCCAGGCTTGCCCCCCAGCTAGGACTATGCCTCGTCCTCTTCAGCATAGCCTACTGGTGTGAGCCACAACAAATGGCTTATTTTCTTCATTAATGACTGATGTGGGAGGGCCCAGGCCACTGTGGGCAATGGCACTCCTAGCCAGATGGCCTTGTGTGCTATAGGACAGCAGGCTTGTTGGGAAACCCTTCTGCCAAAGTCATGTTTGCTATTTTACACTGAGCCCAGTGTCTGGGGAACCCAAATCCCACATCCTCTATTTGAGGAATGTCATGTAGACCTTTGGGAAATTACAGGTCCAGACTCCCTTTCTCCTGGCAGAACCTGCCCAGCAAGCTCCTGGGATTTCTGGAATGCCTCCCCTGCTAATGAGGCATCTCAGTACCTTAAACCCCTAGCAAATGACATTCACCCCCCCCCCCCCGCCCCGTCCCAGCAGAGAGAGCCACACAGGTTGAGCAAGCCACAGGGAGCAAGCTACTGAGCAACATGAGCTCCCGGCTCAGGACTCCCTCCCTCAGACCCGAGAACTTCAGGAGGACACGAGCTCCTTCCTGCTGATGCTGCTTTTCTGTCACAGTGTTTTTAACCGTAAGAGCAACCCTGAGACAGGAAGGCAGAGAGGGAGAGCGGCACTAAAGGGTTGGGCTGTGAGCTACATCTTTTGAGCTCACCCCCTTTCAGGTCAGCCTCTTTCTCCCCATCTCCCAGCCTCCTCTGCCTGCCAGGAGTACCATCAAATTGGGAGCCCAAATCTGGAGCTGGTATTTGCTGCTCTGTGGGTTCTTCTTTAACCTTTATCCCCCTAGTTTCACCCCAAACATTAGGTAGGAGAGGAAGGAGGAGAGGAGAGGAGGGAGTGAGAGAGAGAAACCCGAACCCAATTTCTTTCCCAACCATTCCTCCCAGTTTCCAGTCCAGCCCTTCAAACATTTCTCCCAACCTCAGCTCCCTAACAGCCCCTTCTCCCAGTTCCCAGCTCTGGCAGCTCCAAACACTAACAGCCGTCCCAGCCTCCCTGCTCAGCTCAGCTCCTCCTGGCTCCGCTGTCCCCCAACAATATCTTCTGCACACCTGCCTTCTCCTCTCACTCTGCTAGCCCCACGCCCGCAGCCTCACCTGGCTTTTTTTATATCCTAGCCTGTTCTCAGAAATCCAAGAGGCAAACAACACTGAAGGTCATAGGGTCAGGCAGCTCTGACAGCTAAGAATTTATTTATTTATTTATTTATTTATTTATTTATTTATTTATTTATTTATTTATTTATTTTTGCTTTTGTTTTTCTAGATAGGGTTTCTCTGTGTAACAGAGCCCTGGCTGTCCTAGATTCACTTCGTAGACCAGGCTGGCCTCCAACTCAGAGATTCCCCTGCCTCTGCCTCCCCACATGCTGGGATCACAGGCAGTGCGCCACCATACTGGCTCAGCTAAGAATTCTTAAAGGGCCAGTTGGCTAACAATCGGGGGAGTCCTTCAAAGAGCCAAAAGCGCAAGATAAAACCACAATACACAAATCCAATAATGAAACCAAAGCACTCAGAATAATCTCATGACCTCCCAAGAGTCCCATGTCTAAATAGCACACTGGAGTCCAAACCTTCACCATACAAGGAGCAATTCCTACATCAGGACCTTCCTCTCATAGAAAGGCTGGTGGTCTTTCTCATTCTACTTTTCTGTCATGTGCCCTCCCCTCATTTCCCATTAGCTTCTTTTCATGATGCATCTTTTTGCTAGACTTTTTTCTTTTCTTTTGTCAGGGTTTCTCTGTGTAGCCCTGGCTGTCCTGGTCCTGTAGACCAGGCTGGCCTCGAACTCAGAGAGTTCCACCTGCCTCTGCCTCCTAAGCGCTGGGATTAAAGGCGGGTGCCACCACAGCCCAGTTTCATGACACATCTTTGAGACGCCATCTTGGCATTAGAAGGAAACTCTCTTGGAATTAGAAGGCAGCCATCTTTAAGTCAGTGTTCTTAAAGTTAGAGACGGCCATCTTGACAGCAGGATCAGCAGGTACCTTGAAGTGAGACTTCCCAGCCTCCAGAATCATGAGAAATGAGTTTCTGTTGTGTTGTGTTTTGTTGTTGTTGAGACAGGATCTTACTCTGTAGCCCAGGCTGGACTTGAATTTGCTATCCTCCTGTCACAGCCTCTCAAGTGCCTTCATACCCAAGCTGGACTCTCTGTGTCTCATCTCTCGCTCAGTCCTGGGTATTTTGTTAGAGCACCACCAGAGAAAGCCCAACACAGGCACCTTTTGGAGCGCTGAATGGACACGGTTTCGGTTTTTCCTATTCTGTGTTCGGGGTTGGCCTGCACGTGTGCCTGTGCACCACATGCCTGATGCTGGTGGAGGTCAGAAGAGGGCAACGTCGCCTGGGACGAGAGTTGGAGATGGCGGCAAGCTACCAGCACGTGCCGGGAATAAAACCTGGGTCTTCTGGAAGAGCCACCAGTGTGTGTGTGTGTGTGTGTGTGTGTGTGTGTGTCTGTCTGTCTCTCTGTCTGTCTTTGAAATCTCACTTGGAGTCTTGCTCGCCTGGTCCCGGGTTCATGCAGCCAGGTAACCCTCCTGGTGGGCCTCAGTGGCTATGACTACAGATGCTTCATGGCCACCTTTGTCAGTTTTGGTTTTGGTTTTGGTTTTTAGCGACAGGGTCTCTGTGTAGACCTGGCAGTTCTGGACCCTCTCTGTAGAACACAGTGGCCTCGAACTCACAGAGATCCGCCTGCCTCTGCCTTGAACTGTCATCAGAGATGTGCACCACCACCTCACGGCGCCTGTCAGTTTTTACTGACATGTATTAATTACAGGTAACATTTCCCCTTCATGTCCGTTTCGTTCTTTGATCATATCCTCCCTCGTCCTCTCATGTCCCCTCCCACTCCTGCTGATCACCTTCCTCCCAAGTGGTACTCTTGGTTCTGATGGCTGCATGAGTCAGGGAGGGTTTCTATGGCTGATGAACACTATGACCAAAAGCAAACAGGGGAGGAGGGGGCTCATTTCACTGCTGCACAGCGCAGTCCCTCACCAGATGAGCTCAGGGCAGGAGCACGGGCCACGGGGGACCGCCGCCTGGTGGCTGCTCCCCCCAGCTCGCTCAGCCTACTTCCCTACACACCCAGGACCACCTGCCTGTGGTGGCACTGTGGGAGGGTCCTCCTATACCCACCATCAATCATTAATCAAGAAAACGCCTCACAGGCCAACCTGATGGAGGCATTCCTCAAACGCAGCTTCACTCGACTCCAGATTGTCCGGCTGACGTAACAGTAGTAGCCAGAACACTGAGCCAATGTGTTCCACCAGGGCGGCCTGCAGGGGCGGGGCTCGGGCTGCTTCCGGGGCCACCAGCCGTGGCTATAGCACTGATTTGAACCCGTCTCTCCTCACCCGCAGTGTTCACTGCCTGCTCAACGGAGGAGGTCGGGACCTCTCCAGAGCCACCTCCACTCAGCTTCTGACTCTCCTTCCCCAGCCACATACCAGTTTTTGAGCCTCCAGGAGCTGGAAGGAGAATCCTCCATTGTCAGAGATGTACACGTTGGTACCAGGCAGGGGGCCGCCCTGGAGATATGCAAACATCTTATTCGTCATATCCTGGGAAGAACAGGGTGAAGACGTCACAGGAATGCTAGGTGGTGGACTGTCCGAGCATGCACAATGCCCTGGGTTCTCTCCCAGGTACCACAGAAACTCGGCTGCCGGCACAGGGCCACCTCCTGGAGCCTGGGAAGAGGACGGTCAGGAATTCCAGCTCAGCCTTGGCTAAACCTGAGGATTAGTTCCACTGACCTATTCTTGGGCGTCCAGTTCACAAGGGGGACAACTCTGTGTTTCCATGGAAACCTATATGAGGTGACAATTTGGGGGCTTCGGTTTCTTTAAAAAACAGAACTATCATAAGAATGTGTGGTCATTTTTTCCCCAGGTATGGGGGTGTGGCGCTGCTCAGACTGCCTGCAGCAGCTTTCCTGCTCCAGCGGAGGCATGGTTTTGCCAGCCTCAGGTCAGTTCTGCAACTGTGGCATTTGGAATTCTGAGAACTCTTCAGAGGGTACATAAATTCGAGGGCCCCGAGAGGCGGGGTTTGGTGGTTGTGGCTCATGTAGGGAGGTTGGTCACAGTTTGTTAGTAGCTGTGGTCAAGGAAGAAACAGAAGGAAATAAATTAGGTTCAGGATTTTCCTAATTCCTCTCTCCCTTCTATCCTTCTTTCTCTCCTATTTAGTGATAGGAGGTGAAACTGGGGGATGATAAAGGATAAAGAAAAAGAAGAACCTACAAAGTATAGGTCAGCTATACCTATATACAATTAAGTGCTCACGGGAGAATTCTTCCCTCCCCGCTCCCCCAAAATACAGGCTCTCGGCTTAGGTTTCCATAGCAACACCACAGCTAATAGGAGCACCTGACTGACGCAGACTGCACTAACTCCAAATCCCTGATCCCAAATGAACACCCTGCCCAAGCAGCTGGGACAACAGGGGAGGGCCACTGCGCTTGGCACAGCTTTGCCTTTAACAATCGAGAAAGGAGAAAGAGCCAAATGACTCAGCACTGCAAACGGTCGAGGGGTGAGCACACAAACAGAAGAAGTCATGAGGCAGATGAAAGCCCCAAGGCTACACTCTGCGCGCCTCCATTCAAATGCTGTGCTGTCTGAATGGCGATGGCCCCTGGAGGCTCATGGGCCTTGGTCCCCAGTTGGTGGAACTGTTTGGGAAAGATCAGGAGGTGTGGCCTTTGTGGGGGAGGCGTGTCCCTGGTGGGGGCCCAGTCATCTCTCTCCCTGTCTCCTGCTTGCAAATAAGGATGTGAGCTCTCAGCTGCTATCATCTTCCCACCATGACGGCCATGGAGTAACCCTCTGAAAATGTAATAAACTCCTTCTTCTAGAGCTTGCCTTGGCCGTGGTGTCTCAGGACAGCAATAGGACAGTAAGTAGGACATATTTTAAAACAAGGACGTTGCAGAGGTGGGTGGTCTCCCATTTCTGGGGTGACTATCAGAGAGCTAAACAAAGGACAGTTCTGTGGAAATGGACATTTCTGGACAGTAGCTCCCCCTCGTTAGGTCACATAGTAGGACCCCAAAATGGCATCATTGTGGACAATGGCCTAAGATGGTGGTCTAGGCCCAATCCAGAGCATATTTTTACCAGGTAAGCAGAAGCTCAGCATCCTCAGAAATCCTGCAACGCACACTCCTCTGTCAGGAGAGCGTCACTTTCCTTCCTTGTCTCTAACTGTCAGCTTATACAGAGTGCACCTGCTTCTTGATTAACAAAGACAGCCTGGGTGAGCTCGGCAACCCACCCTCCTGCTCATATAAAACCCATGTGCGTTCCCACCAGGCTGCTGCTCTGCACTCCAGGGAGGTAGCTCGGCCGAGTGGTCCCCAGTAAAACCGCTTCTCTGCCCGTGGCAGGGTCTAGCTTGGTGGTTTCACCTCGCCTTGCGTATACCCCTTATCCATGGCTTCACTTTTGGTGGGGTCAATGACCCCTCCCAAGTAAACCAAAATTCAAAAGTACTAAATGTAAAACCCACAGGTCAGCTATAAGCAACAGTGTGAGGTCTGTTTCAGGCTCCTCACAGAAGGGTTTCTGCACTGACCTAGTGGGATGGGGTGCTGGAAAGACCCCTCTCTGGAAAACCCACCTAGTGAGGAACTTTCGGAGGAGGAAAGCTGTTAGAACTCCCAGACCTCATCCCACACCACACTGATGGCCGCATTTGCTCCTCCTCTAGGCTGATGCCAGACTTTTCAAGGTTCAAAAAAAATCAACCGATTTGCCTGCCCTCCTCCGAGTATCTGGAGATCTTAGCATGACACATAAAAGGCCTCCAGTTTCCTACTGCATGCCACACTGACCAGCCCCAGCACGTCCTGCACCTTAGTCACATTTCTTGCCAGGGTTTCCACCCTGTATGAGCTGCCCTCCCGCTGGCCACCCTCGGGTGTCTCCATTGCCAGCTTCACATGGTTTCACGGGGCTGTGTTCAAGTATGCTTGCCAATCTGATGCACCCTTATTCTCTGTCTGTCTCGTGTGTGTGTGTGTGTGTGTGTGTGTGTGTGTGTGTGTGTGTGTGTGTACACTGTGGAGGTCAGAGAGAACTCTGTGGAGTTGGTTCTCTCCTTCCACATTTCTGTGGGCTCAGGCCGCCAGCCACACCGCCACTGCTAGAAGCTGTTGGTAAACAGGCAAAAGCCCTATGCCAGGTGTGGCAGGCCTCCATGTGAGCCTGAGGCCTCCAAACAATACAGGCTTCTCAGTCATCTACCAGACCTAGCCAAAAAGTCCCTGTTGCTGAGGACCCACACACCTTGGTCACAGAATATAGAATGAGTGAGCTGGACACTTCCTCCATGCTGGCTGGCTTTCACAGCCAGCAGGTGCTGTGTGGGTTGCAGGTGGAAGAAAAGCGGTGGTGGGATCACCCAACCGTGCCACTTGTGACTGACACTTGTGACCTTTGGGGCACAGCTTTTCTAGGGCAAGTGACAGCTCCTCCTGGATCTGGGGCCTGCTCCACAGGAGGAGGGAAGCCCACGCCTGAGTTTTACCCTTGCTCAGAACTCTGGGGTCACAGGCTTGTGGAACCCAAGACCACCCTTTAGCTCAACTGGCAAGGCCAGACAATCTCCTAACACCCATCTATGCCAAAGCCAGACATTGCTCTCAGCCCCGGCCATGGGAGACTTCTTGTCAATGAGCAGCAGAGGACGTGGGCTCACTGTGACACCAGGCGCTGAGAATGAGCGACAGGACACACAGGGACACTACCCCCTCGGGGCACAGAGCGGGGCAGGAGGAATCTAAAAGCCATTAGGAAAGGTGAAGGGGCCTAGAAAAGGCCACCTTCCCAATGGACAGCAGCCACTGCTATCACCAACAACCAACGTTCGTCAACACTCAGTCCTGGGTGGGGCTCTGCTGTCTGTCCCGCTGCTCCTGCCCAGATGTGGACCACCAGCTGGACCCTGAGAGGGTCAACCATTCTCCCTCCCTCCCTCCCTTCCTCTTCCTCCCTCCCTTCCTCCCTCTTTTTCTTTCTCTCTCTCCCTCCCTCTCTCTCCTCTCTTCTTGAGACAGATTCTAGGTAGCCCTGGCTATCCTAGAACTCACCTGGCCTGGAACTTTACCTCCTGAACTCACCTGTATATTTAAAAGGAAGGAAGGAAGAAAGGAAGGAAGGAAGGAAGGAAGGAAGGAAGGAAGGAAGGAAGGGAGGAAGGGAAGAAGGGAGCGTAAAGCAGTGTGAGCTGGGTGTGTGGGTCCTGCCTGTCACCCTAGCTCCTAGGAGGTGGAGACAGAAGGACTGAGAGTTCTGGGTCATATTTTGCCTGGGCTGTGTGAGACCCTGCCTCAAAAACCAAGAAAACATTACACACACAATAATAATAATGAAAAAAGGCAGACTTTTAAATCCTGTTGCCTGGTCGGCCCCGAGAGAGATCTGCAGCTCTCCCCACCTCCCTGGCCAGCCTTCCTGTGAGTCTGGGGGAAGGGACACCGCCAATGGCTACCATTCCACAGCCTCTGTTCCTAGGTCATTCACAAGTACTTGCATTTAGAGTAGTGTGCCTTTACTATGTAAGGTTCCAACTCACCAGGCAAAAGGAGTTTTGAAAACAACAAGTGTCGCCACTAACATGTGAGACAGGTCCCAATATACCTGAAGGGAAGATATATGTTAAAATGTATGCATTATAATTATATATGAGTTTTAAACAGGCACTTATATTTGTGTGTGTGTGTGTGTGTGTGTGTGTGTGTGTGTGTGTGTATAGCACAGGTGGCCAGAGAGGGTGTTGGGTCCTTCGACATGGAGCTATAGGCAGCTATGAGTCTCCAGTGCCCTTGTTTTTGCTTTTGAGACAGGACCTTATTGGCCTACAACTGGCATGTAACCCTGGTCTACACCCAACCCATGAACCCTCTGGCCTCTGCATCCAAAGGTGTGTTAACACACCCGGCTGCACGCTTGCTTTGAGTTCTCCAAAGTTAACTGTTAGGCCAGGCATGGCAGCGCAGGCCTGCTACCCAGATGTAAGGCTGAGGCAGGAGGACTGGGTCCGAGGCCAGTCTGCACTGCACAGTGACGCCCTTCCTCAAAGCAGAGCCAACAACAACAAAGAAAGCCAGGGGCTGGAGCGCTGGCTCAGGTCTGAGGAGCACTGGCTGAGCTGTCCCAGGACCTGTGTTCAGTTCCCAGCACCGACATCTGCGTACAGCCAGTGGGACTCCAGCTCCAGGGGATCTGATGCCCTCTACTGGCCTGCATGGGTGCTGCAAACAAGCGATGCGCAGACAGGCACGTAGGCAAACATCAAAGCACAAACAATAAAAGGACAGACAAAGCCCACGGAACTGAGGAGTGGAGCTGTGGCTCAATGGGTAGAGCTCTCTCTCGCTTAGCATGCACAGGCCCCAGGTTCCATCCCGGCACCAAACAAACCAGGCTCGGTGGCACATGCCTGCCAAACCAGCATGGGGGTGTGAGGTCACCGTCATTCTGCTTACATAGCTAGCTCAAGGCCTGCCCTGGGTTACATGAGGCACAAACAAGACGACGTGCGCAGACAGGCAACAGAAGGCTGGGAGTCACCTGGCGGCTGACTCCAGACGTTGTCGAGGTAACTGTAACTGTAGATTTTTCTGTTCACCACGAATATCACTCCTTCATTGACAGTAAACTGAGCGCTTGTGACCGATGCCACTCCCACCTAAGAATAATGACACACGCTGTGACAAAACACCCAAACCGAGCACCTGAAGGGTGGAGGGTTCGTTCAGGCTCACAGAGAGGACACGGTCCATCAAGGCGGGGGCAGATGACGTCGGCCACCAGGCAGCTGGTCCGGTCACGTCACAGCCGCAGTCAGGAAGCACAGGCCGGTGTGGCTGCCCGGCTCGCTCTCTGTGATTCAGTCTAGGACCCCAGCCCATGGGGTGGTGGCCCCTGCAGTTAAGGTGGCTCTTCCCACCTGAAACTTGCTCACAGACCTGTAACCCCAGCTCCAGGGGACCCTACCCTCTTCTGGTGTCCGAAGGCACCGCAGGCATGAGTTGCACCGACAGACGTAGAGTTATTCATACACACAAACATCTCTTTAAAAGGATCCTTTTTTTATGGATATGTGTGTCTGGCACATGCCTTGGGGTTCTTAAGAGGCAGGAAGAGGGAATCAGATACCCTGGGGCAGGAGTAAGAGGTGGTTGTGAGCTGCCATGTGGGTGCTGGGAAGGAACCCAGGGCTCTAACCACTGAGCTCCTCTGGTTTCATATTCTGCCATCAGATCTCACTGGAGTTCTCTGTTGGGCAGGGCTGGTATCTAGTGAGCCCCAGGCTCCTCCTTTCTCCCTCTCTGTACACCACGCTTCTCTGTGCATCTTGACACTTTCACCGAGCCGTCTCCTCAGCTACTAACTCACTTGCTTCTTCCTTCCACACTGGGATCTGGGTCTGCCGTCATCTGCCTAGGTGCTAAATCAGGAAAGCAAAGCTGGTCTCTGTTGAGCTATGTACACCCTCTTCCTTCTCAGCGGAGGGATGGCTCGCTGGCTAAGAGCACTGGCTGCTGTTTCAGAGGACCTAGGATTGGTGCCCAGCACCCACAGAGGCTCTCCACAGTTCCAGGGAATCCAGCACCCTCCCCTGGTCTGCCTGGGCACCAGGCATACAAGCGGCTCAGGGACAAGAATGTACACAAAACACGATACACACAAAGTTAACATAAACAAAACATCAAATAAATATTCGAAGGGAAGGAAACAAGAAAAGGAGAAAGGAAGAATTATTACAGGGATGAATGCAGAGGCCGGAGGGGCGGGGCTCTACGGGAGGTGGGGTGGAGGGGCGGGGCACTATCAGAACTGGGATGAACTGGGTCCTTCATCCCTGTGACTCAGCATCTCTAAGAGCATGCAGTAGAAGAGCTCACGGCTGCCCCAAGTCTCCTCTCAGTGTGACGCACTTGGGAATGACAGGCTGAGGAGGTATCTACCTTCATTGACTTGGGAATGACGAGTGGTGGGAGGCTGGTCTCAAAGTTGTCCTTCGATAAGAAAACCTTCTGCCTGCGACCAAGAAGAAAGGTGGAATCAGGAGGCTCCTCAGGCTGTGGGCAGCTCTCTTCCCAGCTCCCCGTGGCCAGGGTCACCCACATACAGTGTAATGTACAGTGTGCCTACCTGCTTGCTCTTTTATTATTATTATTATTATTATTTAATGACAGAGTCATAGAGGAAAAATAAAAAGACCACAGATGAAATAGTCCAGGCAAGGGGGTGGCACAGGCCTGCTGTCCTGGCACTTCAGAGCTGAGTAGGGACGGTAAGAAGGAGGGAAGTGACCCCTGTAATCTGGCCTCTGACCTCCACACAGGTGTTATGGCATACTCAGGCATACACACAAAGAAGTAAGTGCAGTTTTAAAACAATTTAAGCCAGCTGTAAAAATCTATATATTTTTTGTCAATCTGTGATGGGCAGAAGCTGAGGGCTTGGCACCTGTCCCCAGAGGGACTCTGCTTGTGCCTGGGCCTTCCTCTGCATGTTCCCGCCCAGCCCAGCTGTATACCCTGCAGGCCAGAGATGGTTGACCGCTAAGGAAAGAGAGGCAGGGACAGAGGGAAAGGCAGGGGGGAAAACTGGGGAGGGGGAGGACAAGGGGGAGGAGGGGGGAGGGAGAAGGTGGGGGGAGGGTTAGGGAGGGCACTGCTCACCCTAGGTACAGGACAAGGTTACTGGAACACAAGTTCTTGAGCACGAGTGTGGTGGGTAAGGCGTAGAACAGCATGTCCTGCAGAGAGCACGGCGTCAGCCAGGAGGAGCAGGCCCACCGCTCCGTACTCAGGAGGGTCAGAGCTCAATGTCTGAGCCGGTGAGATGGCACCTCACCTGGGCAGCTTAGGAGAGCTAGCCCAGCTCTACCCCATCTGTGGGCTGCCTTTGTGAAGGCAGGGCCTGCAGAGCCAAAGCTGCACGATCATCGCCGTGACACGGCAACAGCAGGATGTCCTAGGAGTCCCAGTGAGGCTCCAGCACTGCCAGAGCAGCAGGAGCCAGAGGCCTGGGGCCAGGCCAGTGACTCACTGCAGTGAATGTTCGCAAGGAAAGCCGCGAGGACAGAAGGGTGAGCTGTGGGACACGCTGTGGCACACCCTGGCTTCCTTGGTGAATTTTATTTTTTTAGTTTTAGTTTTGGTGGAGGGGGGTCGCAGGGCCAGTGTATGGAGATGGAGACGGTGGGAGCACAGTGCACAATGGGAAACTCACAAAGAATCAAAAAAAAAAGTTAAAAAAGAGAAAGAAAAAGCAAGGTGCTCTGCTATGTGGTCATACTGGCTTGTGGGAGGAAGCACGTACCCCTTCAGCTTGCGGCTCGGAAGCAAACATCTTCCCGGTCCTCACTGTACGTGGCCTGGAGGGGTTCAAACACACAGCTGACAGTCAGGTATTGCCTTCTGATTTAGCCTGTTTTTAAATGTTTTCCTATTGCCCTTTTAATTTTTACTTCATGTGAACGGATGTTTTGGCTGCAGTCTCTCTGCATACCGCAGGCATGCTGTGCCTGAGATGGCCAGCAGAGGGCGACAGGTGTCCTCTGGGGTCAAGGGTGAGTGAGAGCCTCTGGCTGGGGACTGGGAACCAAACCTGGGTCCTCTGCAGGAGCAGCCAGTGCTCCACCCAACCGCTGAGCCATCTCTCAGCCCCTCAAGTCCATTTGACATTCATCATGATCTCTCGTGTTGTGCTGCCTCTGGACACACGGCACAGCAGGCAGGCTTGGTGTTTCTGGGGTTCTGGGAGTCCTACAGCCTTGGAGGTTGGTGGGAGGAGCTCCTGCCCCAGTCCCCAGAACTGTGTAAGAGACAGGCAGGGTGCTGTGGGTCTGTCAGCTCAGCACCACGGAGGCAGGAAGCAAAAACAGGAGATTCCACAGAGGCTCAAGGGTAGGGGCCTGCTGTATTTAGCAGCAAGCAGAACAGAGAAACCCCAGTTTAAGCAAGGTGACAGGAAAGGAGTATGTCCAGGGTTGTCCCCAGACCTCCACAAACATCGGACCTGTGGCCTCACTCCATAAAGGGGCTCGCTGAGAAGCCTGCTACTTGAATCTGGTTCCGGTACAGAGAACTGACTCCTGAAAACTGCCTTCCGACTTCTCACACTCCTCTGCACGGGTACGTGTGCGCGCACACATGCAGACACACACTACACAATTTTGAAAATTAGCCAGGTGTGGTAACACATCTTTACTCCCAGCAGAGAGAGGCAGGTGCATCTCTGTGAGTTTGAGGCCAGCCTGGTCTACCTGGTCTAGAGTGAGCTTCAGGACAGCCAAGGCTAACACAGAGAAACCCTGTCTCAGAAGAGAGAGAGAGGCTCAAAAACACCTTTAAGCGGCCCTAATGTTCCCAGCTTGTCCCCAGATCCAGGTGAAGGAGGCTTCCCCTTGCCCTGCTCGGGGCTCTCTTTGATCTTAGCCCATGCACAGTGTCAACGCAGAGCCTGGGTGCTATGGGGGTTCCTCAGGTTCCTCTCACTGTTTATTCAGAGACAGGCTGAGCAAGGAGCACAGGCTGGCCTCTAACTCCCAGCCCTCCTTGCTGCAGTGACGACAGGCCTGTGCTGCCCGGCGCTGGCGGTGGCCCAGGCCCAGGCCCAGGCCACTGAGCTCAGCCTCAGCCCACTGAGCTCCAGCGCAAGCCACACCAGCAGCCGCCTTCCGCAAGCGCTTCTTGAGTTTCCCTACTTTGTGCGTTTGCTGTTCTGCAGCAAACAGCTTCCTCTTGGGTGGGGCCAGTCACCTGTCTGGGGCACCTCCACTTCCCAGGTTCCCTGTGGCTCTTTGCAGAAGATATGCTTGAATGTTAAGTAACAGTTACTGAAATTGTCAAATGAACACAGAGGGTGGTATTGTCACCTGTCCTCTCGCTAATTGGAAGGCTGAGGGAGTGTGTGTGTGTGTGTGTGTGTGTGTGTGTGTGGTTTTCTAGAGACAGGGTTGGCTATCCTGGACTCACTTTGTAGATAAGGCTAGCCTCAAATTTACAGAAACCCTGCTTGCCTCTTCCACCCTGATTGCTGTGATTACAGGCGTGTTCCGTGACACCGCGCCTGGCGGGATGATATTTTTTTTATTGAGAGACACAACTAGCGATGTAGTCCAGGCTGGCCGTAAAACTACCTTGCTGGATTCTAGAGATGATCCAGAACTCAGGACCTAAGACCCGAGGTCCCCAGAGGACACAGTAACACACTGCGACATAATCGCATGGCAGCACTCAGGGACACCAATAACTGTGACACCATGCACAGCACACTGCCCAGCCTGCACGTGGCCAGCCTCAAGAGCTTCTGAGCTAGGTTAGGATGGAAGGTGGGACAGGTTGCAGACTGCCCACAAGGAACTTGGGTTTTAGGAGTGCCCACGGCCTTGGTTGTTCCACACCGAGCATGGGGTTTTAGCGGTGTGCCCGGAAGGGTTGTGCCACGTTTCATTCCTCCAATCGAGAGCAGGCCATGACTCCAACATGACCAGCCCTGTCCCACTCTAGAAGCATCCCATCCCCGTGAGGCAATCGCACCGGCACAGCGGCTGAGCCCGGACCACGGCGGCCACGGCGGCCAGCATCAGCATCAGCATCTTGCCCGGCTCTCCACACATAACACCCCCCTAAACGGCCAAGGAGCTTGAGGAAGAGTGAGCATGCGCGTGGAACCTGAGGCTAGGCCTCTTCACAACTGCCCAACTCTAGTCTGGGCGTGTGCACGCGGGCATGGACTCTAGCAGGTCCTTTTGAACTTCTGCAACAGAATCCCCCCAAAAACCCCAACAGGTCTACTCAGAAGGGGAAGGAGCGAGCAGACGGAACATGGAAGCAGATAACGCACATTTCCAACCCGAAAGTTAGCACCCAGTCTCCCATCCTCAGAAGTCTACATCGTGAGCATGCGCAAATGAATTCGAGGAAGTCACATTCCGGGCCCGAGCACACGTGGGGTGGAAGCAGGGCTTTGGGCATGCAGAAAGTCCAGCCCTTGCTTTGTGGAGCCTGGGCAAGGACGCAGGGTCTCTTGGGTCGTGTCCTCAGAGCTTTAGCGTTTTTCTATGGGCCTCATGGGCGTCTGCCCACACAGGTAACGCTGAGCAGGCGCGCAGGCGCACGGCCTCGCATCATGCCGACTGGAAGAGGCAGAAGCCCTCCAAGGGCGCCTCCTACAGTGTGGAACGAGGAAGGTGGAACCGCGGAGCTGTAGCGAACCCTGTTGTGTATCAGCAGTGCACGCCGGGAAGACTAAAGTTACAAAGCAGGGTGTACTGCACCGTCCTTTTTGTGCCTGCTGTACAGAGAAGCTACCCCTGAACACAGAGCACAGAGCGCCGTTCTAAGGCATGCTCGGCCGGGCCGGGCACGGGGAGGGACCGGTGCTGTCTCCTAGTCACGCTCCCCCCAGAGTACACCAGGTCTCGCTTTCTGTCCACCTCCTCCCTCGAGCCACGCCCCCACCCGGCCAGCTCCGAGCCACGCCCCCACCGCTCTTTTCTTGTTCTGCTACCTGGGGCGTTCAGCCTCAGCCCTGGTCCCCCTCTAGCCACGCCCACTCGCCCGCCTCCTCCAAGCTCCGCCCCTCCAGCCTGAAGCACGCGCGTGTCGTCACGTGCGTTGCCGAAGGGCGAGCAGAGATGACGTGAGCGCTGTGCGCCGCTAGTATGGCAGTTCCATGGCGGCGAGTACGGGCTACGTGCGGCTGTGGGCCGCTGCGCGGAGCTGGGCGCTATGGCGACCGCTGCTCTCTGTCACCGGAGGCCGCGTCCCGAGCGCGTCTGGGTCGTGGCTGTGTCGAAGCAGGCGGGTCTGTGGCCCGTCGGCTCCCTGGGCTCTTGGCGGCCGCGTTCCTGCGGGCGTGAGCCAGTGGCGAGGGCTGTGGGACGCGGGCGGCCGCGGTGGCAGCGACGAGACCTCCGAGGGCGGTTCGGAGGACGGGCCCTCGGCGGGCAGCGGGGAAAGCCCGGTCGTCACGGCCCTCGCGCCCATGACCGTCCCGGATGTGTTTCCGTATCTGCCGCTCATCGCCATCACCCGCAACCCGGTGTTCCCGCGCTTTATCAAGATCGTGGAGGTAACGAGAGCGCCCCGCCCTCCTGGCCTTGCGGTTCCCAGCTCTGCTGGAGGGACCGAGGGGGTCACAACGCCCTCGTGTCTAAGAAACTTTTGGAAGCTCGCCTCCCGCCTGTCAATTCACCACTCGGGAGTCTGAGGCAGGAGGATGCCGAAGTCCTTGGTGGCTAATTTGACACAAATTTCTCCATTTTTTGGGTCCTTCCGCCGGAATTGGTTTAAAATTCATGATCATAGGACCCTCTGGTGATAGAAATCTCAGTCCGACTAAGCAGCAGAATACAGTCATTTCCCTCCCATCTTGAAACTTTTCTAACACCTGAGCCTTCCATGTTCAATCTTGTTTATTTATTGAGACAGCCTTGTGTATCTTTTGTCTTGTGACAGGGTTTTATGTAACCCAGGCTAGGACCTGTTGAAATGTTCACACCCTTATCCCTTTAGGTATCAGGCACAGTTGGGAGTGGGGATACAAAGTTACAGGCTTTGGATACTACATTCTAGGAGTAGGAGAAAGGCCAGAATGACTGAGGTCTGAGTGGCTTACCAAAGGAAGAGGATAGGATTTTTTTTTTTCGACAGTGTCCCTGACATTTGCTGATATTTACTTCTGTGAAGAAAGTAAGTTAAAAGTCTTTTACTTGAGGGAGGAAAATTCCAGTGCAGGAAGTTGATCCTGATGGTTCCAGATTAAGGAGCCATGAGGCAGGAGGGAGAAGGAACAGGATGATGAAATCAACAGAAACCAGAGACTTTTAAAAGTAGGGAATTTACCAATCAGCCACCCGCTGTGTTTTGTGTTTTTTCTCCTTTTAAACTTGGACAGCAGAGTCTATGGAGGCCAGTGGTTATCAGTTAACTTAGCAGCAAGGTCATACAGTGAGTCACTGCCACGTCCACTCTGCAGCCTCCTCTCCCTTCTCCTGGCTCTACCAAGTCTTAAAGGGACAGGTGACAGCACAGATGGGAGGGTCAGAGAGAGCTCCTCCATCTTCCTTCTCACCCATGCTTCAGGGCCCTTCATTCATGTTGTCCATCTGGTGGAAGAACACTCACCAGCCAGCCACCTTCTGTAGGGTCCCATGGCGCCATCCCCTGACTGGTTTTCCTCATCTGAGAAATACACAGAATAGATGTTCCTGTCACAGAGTCAGGGGGCGCTTATGGAAGTCACACGTAGGCCTGTGTGTAAAGGCTTTTTTGGTTAGGTTGAGGCAGGATCTGGTGTAGCCCAGGCTGGCCTCCTGCTCACTGTGTAGTTGAACTTGACCTTCAGTTCCTGATCTTAAGGCTGTCCTCCA